ATTACTGCTTCAATTTCTGAGCTTGAGATTGGTCTATTCAGGAGATCTGTTACCTCCTGGGTGAACTTAGGGAGGTTGTATGTATCATGGATCACTTTTGTAATGCTTGAGTCCCATCTATAGATGTGCCCATCATGCAAATAGTGTTCATTGTACCCACTAGGTAGGTTTTTTGCCTTCCCCCTGCTTGATTTCCACTGAGTTTTTACTTTCCTCTGTGCACAAGTGTGCTCATCATTTACTTCCAATTTAATAGTGAGTACATGTGGTGTTTGTTTTTCCATTCCTGTGATACTTCACTTCGGAGAATGGTCTCCAGTTCCATGCAGACTGTTGCAAAAGGTATTAATTCATCGTTTTTATCGCTGGGTAGTACTCCATGGTATACGACCACATTTTATTAATTGGCTCATAAATTGATGGATGCTTGGGTTGATTTCACATCTTTGCAATTGTAAATTATGTTTCAACAAATATTCAAGTGCATATGTCTTTTCGATGAAAAGTTTTCTTTTCCTTTGGGTAGACACCCAATAGTGAGATTGCTGGATCAAATGCTAGGTCCACTTTTAGTCCTTTGAGGAATCTCCATACTGTTTTCCATAGGGGTTGTACTAATTTACAGCCCCATTAACAGTGTATAAATGTTCCTTTCTCTCTGCATCCATGCCAGCAGTATTGTTTTTGGACTTTTTAATAAAAGCCATTCTAACTGGGGTAAAGTGATATCTCATTGTGATTTTAATTTGAATTTCCCTGATGATAAGTGATGTTGAGCAGTATATTTATTTGCCATTTGTCTTTCTTTTGTGAAGCTTGTGTTCATTTCTTTTGCCCACTTTTTAATAGGGCTGTTTGTTTTTGTCTTGCTGACTAGCTTCAGTTCTTTGCAAATTGTGGATATTAGCCCTTTACTGGATATATGGCTTGCAAATATTTTCTCTCACTCTGTAGGTTGTCTATTTGATTGTTTACTTAGCTGTACAGTAGGTTTTTAATTTAATAAAATGTCATTTATTTATTTTCATTCTTGCCATGATTGCCATTGAGGTCTTAGTCATAAATTCTTTGCCTAGGTTGATATCTATGAATTTTTCCTAAAATTTCCTCTAGAACTCTAATGGTTTCATGCCTTAGATTTAAGCCTTTTATCCATTTTGAATTAATTTTTTTTTGAATTAATTTTTGAAAGTGGCGAGAGGTAGGGGTCCTATTTCATTCTTCTGCATGTGACTATCCAATTTTCCCAGCACCATTTATAAAACAATGCTTCTTTTCCCCAGAGTATGTTGTTGCTTTGTTGAAAATTAGTTGGTTGTAGGCAGACGATTTTATATCTGGGTTCTCTGTTCTGTTCCATTGGTCTGTGTCTCTATTTTTGTGCCAATGCCATGCTGGTTTGGTTACTATTGCTTTGCAGTATAGTTTGAAGTCTGGTAATGTGATGTCTCCACATTTGTTCTTTTTGCTTAAGATTGCTTAAGATTGTAGGCTCTTTTCTGGTTCCAAACAAAGTGTGGAATTATTTTTTCTAGATCTGTGAAATATAACACTGGTAATTTGGTGGGGATTTCATTGAACTGTAAATCACTTTGGGTAGTATGGACATTTTAACAATGTTAATTCTTCTGATCCATGAGCATGATATGTTTTTCCATTTATTTGTGAACTCTGTGATTTATTTTCTCGGAGTTTCATAGTTCTCCTTGTAGAGATCTTCTACCTCCTTGATTAAGTATATTCCTAGGTATTTTATTTTCTTTGTAGCTCTTGTGGATGGTATTGAGTCTTTGATTTGACTCTCACCTTGAGTGTTATTGGTCTATAGAAATGGTACTGATTTATGTATGTTTATTTTGTATCCTGAGACTTTGCTGAAATTATTTATCAACTCCAGGAGTTTCTCGGTGGAATATTTATGGTTTTCTAGATACAAGATAATGTCATCAGCAAAGAGCAATAGTTTGACCTTCTCTTTTCTGATTTGGATACACTTTATTTTTTTTCTTTTGGCTGATTGCTCTGGCTAGGACTTCCAGCACTATGTTGAATAGAAGTGGTGACAGTGGGTTTCCTTGTCTCGTTCTAGTTTTAGTGGGAATATTTTTATCTTTTACCCATTCAATATGATGCTGGCTGTGGGTTTATCATCTATGGCTTTTATAATTCTGAGATATGTTCCTTCTATGCCTAGTTTGTTTGAGAGTTTTTATCACGAAAGGGTGCTGAATTTTTTCAAATAATTTTTCTGTGTCTATTGAGATGATTATTTGGTCTTTGAGGTGAATTATATTTATTGATTTCCATATGTTGAACCATCCCTTCATCCCTGGGATTAAGCCCAGTTGGTCCTGCTAGATTAATTTTTTTTTTTTTTTGGTGTGCTATTGAATTTGGTTTGTTAGTGTTTAATTAAGGATTTTTGCATCTATAATCATAAGGGATACTGGTCGTATTTTTCTTTTTTTCTAGTGTCTTTTTCTGGCTTTGATATCAAGGTGGTACTGGCTTCATAGGATAATTTGGGGAGGATTCCCTCCTTCTCAATATTATAGAATAATTTTTGTAGTAGGTCTTTTTTGTAGGTCTGATAGAATTCAGCTGTGAATCCATCTGGCCCATGGCTTTATTTTTGTTGTTGAGAGGATTTTTATTACTATTTCAATCTCACTATTCATTATTGGTCTGTTCAGGAGTTCTGTTTCTTCCTGGTTGAGTCTTGGGAGCTTTTCATTTCCAAGAATTTATCCATTTTCTGTATGTTCTCTAGTTATGTGCATAAATATTTACGTAGTATTCATGGATGTTGTTTTGTATTTCTGCAGTATCAGTTGTAATGTCTCCTTTTTCATTTCTGACTGAGCATATTTGGATCTTTTCTGTTCTTGGTTAATCTAGCAAGAGGTCTTTCAATTTTGTTTATATTTTCAAAGAACCAACTTTTTGTTTCATTGATCCTCTGCATTACTTTTTTGTTCTCCAATTTATCATGAAGGATGCTTCTAATTTTTAAAGGGACATTCCAAATGCACAGCACATGCCAAATCATTTCAAACACTTTTATTAAGAACACAACCATAAATCATTTGAATAGTCTCTTCAAGTTATGGTAACAAAATGTGACCTATGTTAAATGCAGCCAAGCTCCATCTCGTTCCCTAGATGCTTTGCACAGATGGAACTCTCACTGGTATTGTTTAGCTTTCTCTGTGAGCATCAGTATGCTTCATAACTGTAGACTGTACATCACCTTCAGAGATTATAAACAAACACTAGCAATTCGAAGGATAACAGTTTCTGTCCTTTCTCAGCTAATTTTGTCTTCTAATAACATATAGTGAAATTGATTTCAGAAAGAAAAATAAACAGAAATACCCTTACTCAGTTTCTTTCTTGTTTTTAAAGATGGAAAGAAAACACTTCATTATTTTATTGTCTTTCACTGTATTATAATACTCGATGTAATTAAGAACATCTTTTCAACTGTAAAAGATATAGAAATGTTAAAAGAGAAGCAGTGCTCATAGTTTTTAAGAAAAAATAGTTGTGCCTAATTTTATTCAGAAGTTCTTTATTGCACCTAAATTTTATGATTATTGCTTTCTTTGCATTTTAAAGTAGTTGCAATAAGTTTCATTTTAAATCAATTTATTATTTATTATATATATTCTGTTCCCTAGTTATTCTTTTAGTACTATGTATCATTGAGCACTTATAGATGGCACAAATATATTATTGGTCTGTAACATAATAAAGTATTTAAATAAAAACTTTAAAACTACTTCTTATTTGCACAGGCATCAAATGCAGATTTATTAAGGTTAATGCATATTATTGAAAATTACATTCTTTTTTTCAGATTCAAGAAATTGGCAGAAATGATGAGCAAGAAAATGATTATGAACAGGATATTTTCTCATTTTCTACATATATTCCTTGTAAGTTTTACATATGTTATGTATATAAGTGACTTTTATGTTATGGTATATGTAACTGGAAAAGTAAGCTGAAGAGAATATGGAAAGGTAGTTAACTCAATGGCTTTTAATTTATAATATGGTAGAGATACTACTACATTATATTGCTAATTTAAATATTTGTAATAAGTTCAAGGTTTAATAATCAAATACCAATTTTTCCTACTCAAAGAGAATGCACAAGTCCTATTGCTATAAATACTCTATTTTGCAACTATATTTTTCATTTTTGATTTTTTTTTTTTTTAAACATAACCACATTCTTTGCAGACCTTAGTTTTCTCAGATATGAAATGAGATGGTTAGACTAGGACACTCTAAGATCCTCCCTGGCTCTAATAGTTGTAATTCTATTAATATATATTCTAATGTCCCAAGACTAATGCAGAGTGTCCCTACATGTATGTAACCCTGTTATGCCGGATTTCACCGGCTTGCAATGGCTTGCTCAGCGAGCGTCTCTACCAGCATGTCTCACGGGCATCTCGCACACAACATTTTTGAAAACCTGCTTCCTCCACTCCCAAACCTCTCCCCGTGCTGACTTCCCCGTCTCGGTACATGAAAACTCCGTCCTTCTTTTGTTCAAATCATTTCAAATTATTGGATTCATCCTTGGCTTTTTTACTTTTCTCCTACCCCCTATCCAATTTGTCATACCGGACTGTTGATTCACCTTCAAAATACTGCCAACACTTAAGCATTTCTCTCCCCTTTCATCGTTATTTATCCCAGTCTACGCTATCACCAGCTCGCCCCTGGGTTACTGCAGTGTCACGACAGAGACACGAAAGGCGGAATGTCCTGTGACGCTCAGGACAGGCTCTCCTGACAAAGGGTCATCCAGTCCAAAATGCCAGTAGTGCTACCGTGGCCAAGAAACACTACAATAGCAATGTCCCCCTTTGCTGTCCCTCATGTTCTACGCTTCATGGAGGAACTAACTACTCACTCTTCTGTTCCAGTCCCTCCCACACTTTCCCATTGTACCCATAATCCTTCTCATCACCTGCAAGTCCCTAGATAATCTTTTGGTCCCGCCTGTGACCCCTCCCTTGCTTGTTCACAGCCACAGTGCCATCCGACACATCAAGCATGCTCCTGCGCTGAGCTCCTTCCCTGCACTTCCTGCATGGACCCACGTGGTCGTTTCTTCCTTCACAACATGACCCCTCCTCTGTGATTGCTTTTAAATCCCTTTTCCTGCTTTTTTCCTTCATTGCAGTTATCAACATTTAATGTTATATTTTATTTATTATATCTGATTGTTGTTAATTGCCTATTCTCTCCTTTTAAAATATATTCTTGAAATGATCAGAACTTTTTGTTTTTATTGTATCTCCAGCATTGGTGACAGTACATAGTCTAAGCTCAGTTAAACATTATTGGCCACGGGTTTTTAAAAAGGCAGGCTGAGCTACAAATCAAATAAAATTAAATGCAATTATTTAATAAATGACTTAACTAGCATACTTGGGCAAAATTAGTAAACTCCTTCAAACATTATTGCAGAATACAAAAATGCTAAATATTAAATTAATAGATTAATGCACCAAGTTTGAAAGTTGTATGTCTTATCATTTTTAATGACAATCAAAAATGATGATAAAGGCCATTATTGATAATTACTGTATTCATCGTGACATTTAATTTTCAGAAGAACTGACTCTATAAGAAAATATTAGTTTGGTTCCTCATAAAGAAAAGTCTCATTTCTGCAGTTTGGAGCTGTGGACCCTCTGGTCTATGAAGCACTGTGTGATTGGGCTCTGGCGCAGGCTTGTTTATGGGGGGGTGAAGCATGGGGCATCCAAGTCAGCAGATTCCATCGCTGTGAAGCGTGTTAAAACCCACTGACCCGCTAAACCAGACTTTTCAGGTCTGCGTTCCAGGTCTGGACATATTTGACAAGTAGCATGGAGACACTGTTGTTTATTCAGGGTTAACAAATACTGAATACATACACAGAAGTGTGGCTAGGAGTAATTTCCTATAGCGTGAATATAATTCTAAGTTGACTGATTGTCCCAGAGTGAAACAGTGAAGTCCCTCTGCCAGCCTGAGCAGTAATTTTTCATTCATTCCATCATCTACTCCATCAACATTTCTAGATGCTACTTTTTTCAGGCTCACTGTTTTGTGGTAAGGGTAGAAAGATGAACGATACCTGTGTAGATAGATTGTGCAAAAATGAAAGTACATCTGCTGTGCCCAGGCTGGTAATTAAAGAATCTTGGTTCAGTTGTAGTTCTGGAAGTGACATGTTCTTTCTCACATGACAGACAAAAAGAAAAGAAAATTTTGTGTAGTAATGTGGAGTACCTTTATCAGCAGGATTTTTTCCACATGACTAATTTTTCTTCCATTTTAGAAAAATTCCTACAATGTAATTCTTCATTTAAAGTAAATTCCTTCTCTACACTCTGACGTTTGGTTTTTTAGCTATATTTTAGTTTAGCAACATTTCAACATCATTATTTACATTGACAATACAACAACTCACATATTCCAAAGTCTGTTATAGAGGTTCTAAAGTCTGTTTAGAAGTTCCAAATGTCTGTTTTAAATTTTTTTGAATCCTTTATTTTGAGAAAATATTTATAAAGACAATTTAATAAAAGTTTTTTGAAGATTTAGTTATTACATTATAATTTCTTTTTTTCTATTTTCTTCCTGAGTGGTTAAAGAGCGTTTATTTTGTATCATATAAAAAAATGATGGCATGGATATTTAGGTAGAGGAAATTTGAGTCTTTTGGTTAAATTTTAGGACAGAATGAATTTTATATGTGGAAGAACTGAGCCTCTGAAAAATTTGCCTACTATTGGTGATTTGGATGCCTTCTTCATCAAAAAATATTAACCTTTTGTCCAAGTAATGTTTTCAAAACTAATATAATATCTGTAATCAATTTATTATAATAAATTATGAAATGAGTATAGCATCTAAAAAATTAATATGTATATAAACATATATTAAAATTATAACTAAGTAAGAGTCACAGATTAATTTGCAATCTATTTACAAGTCATTCAGGGTTTATTTCTTTTCCCTTTTCTTTTCCTTTCCTATCACTTATTACTTACTTTATTAGGTCAGTTACACTGTTTTATAATAAAAATACAATGATACTGTCAAATACATGTGAATCTGCTAGAACAATAGCTCTAAAGCAGGGATCCTCAAACTATGGCCCCCAGGCCACATGCCACCAGCAGCCGACATTTACCCTGCCTACTGGCACCCAGGGCGCTCCCAGGTGCGGGGCGGGCTGCCACCCAGGGCGCTCCCAGGTGGGGCCGGGGAGGCGGGCGGCGGGCAGCAGCCTGCCAGCCTTGCAGGAGAGACAGGGCCTCCACTCCCACGCGGGGCTTCTCTGCCCAAGTTAACCACAGCCAGAGAAGCTTCCAGCTCCAGTTTCACGCTCACAGCCAGTAATTATCATGCATGTTTTTATCATTATTTTACATTTACTTCCCAAATTCATAAAATATTCTTATGAAAAAAATTCAATGAGAAAGATGACAAACAATGCCCATTATCAAAACCCTGTTTCTCACTGTCCTTTAGTCGTCAGTCCTGGAAGGCTGTAAAATATTTAATATGTAAACACTGTTTCAAAAAGTGAATTTTGATACAATGCAATTTAGCATCGGTGTGCTCAAAGGCTCTGTCCCCACTGAGGCCACAGTTTATGGACATGAGCCTTATAGGGCCTGCTCTGTGTGTGGGGAGGGAAGTGCTGAAACCTAGGGAGCGCCCCTCTGATCATTCATCCATTCACTATGTCCCAAGCTCTGGTAGACGTATCAATAGAGTAGATATATTAATATTTGAGAGGAAGAAAACATAGTACACTGACAACAAAATTCTGGCATTTTTTTATGTTTTCAGATTTGAATAATTTTATATAATAAAATTAATTGTTAAGAAGGCAAGGTTGTCTTATGTCAGATTAAATCTCTTAAAGGAGCTGATATTAAATCATGTTTTTCCTGATGTAAATTTCTGTCTATGATATGTTGGTTAGCCGATCTGAAACTGCTCTATCCAGCGTTTTCACCAGATATCCAAGACCACAAATGTAATGTTGGGTAGTATATCTCCTGAAAACTACCGAATGTAACAAGAAAAATAAAATAAAACTCACTATTTTATTTCAAAATTCTCTTTTTTTACATTTTATATACAGTTCTACTTTTTATCTCATCTTTGCATAGAGCTAATGTTGGAAGTGAGTGTCAAATAAAATACCACTATTTTTTCTTAAAATTGTTAGATTAAGGTCTTTAAAAGTAAGACTGTAAGCTGTCGCTTACTTCCTGCCGGAGACATTGTCTGGCTTGACTTTAGCCAGCGACGCCCATCTTCAAATGTAGCTGCGGGTGCGGCCGCACGCCTGCAGCCCGGCGCATCGAGAGGCTGAGGTGGGAGGCTCACTTGGGCCAGAGGTCCGAGGCCACAGCGAGCTGAGCTCTGCACCACTGCACTGCCGCCCGGCGACGTGGTGAGACCTCAGCTCAAAACAAAACAGCAGCTTCCACTTTCTCTCAAGTTACTAGAAAAATAAACAAGAGGCCGTCTCATCCACGTCCCAGGCATTGAACTTTTGTAACAGACTTGCAGACATACTCACTGGAGAAACTAATAATAAACAACACGATGGAGGCCTTTGCGATTTACTAAGAACCCATGGTCTTTTTTTGTCTTCACAAAATTCCTGACAAATAACTATTGGATCCCTTTTTTGACTCAAACCTACGACCACATAGTCTATAATTAGAATGTGTCAAATACTTCTATGAATGGGGTTCCTGAGCTTTGAGGACTCTTCTCGTTTTTTACACACCCTTGCCCCAATAATTTCAAAAGTTGGAATTATAGAAGTCATTTATTTTAGTCCTTATTTATTAGTGTACCACCTGAATTGAGAAGGCTTCAATCCCATTCTTAACTGAAAAGTATAATCGGATCCTTTGGAAAATAAAAAGTAAAAAGTACTGTTTCTAGTGCAAGCCCAACTTTAGAAAGAGTTGGGCAGAGAGGTGGGTGGGGAAACAGCTAACGAGTCAGGAAAGCAGTTGGTAAACGTGAGAGAGCTGACACATTCGCTAAAAACGAAACACTGTGAAAGTGGGTCCCACACACCCGATCCGGGTTCACCTGTGACGCTGTCGGTGAAACAGAACTCACAAAGTCAGCATCTGAAAACCACGTTATTCATAGGGAAAAAGGAACGTCGTGGTGATTTTAAAGTTACTGCTAGGAATTTAGATAATTAATACTTCTTAGGTTAAACTAACTGAAACAATAAGATTTAGAACTCTGTTGGGAGCTTCCCTTGGCCTCTCTTCATAAACCTACATATAACAATTGCTGAATCTTGTTCTAATAATATCCTAATAATATCCTTTTATTGAGCTCTACTATTTATCTTACCCCTTAGCTTCTAAGGTTTTCCACTAAAATCCCCATAAGTAAACGAATTTTGGGGGAAGGGATCAATTCTCACTCACCAAAGAGCTAATTGGAAAAAAGAAAAAAAAGAGAGAGAGAGATTCTTATTGGTCTTGTAGAGAGACATAACATCTCTTTTCAATATATGTATTAATCAAAGTATATCATATCTTTGTCCTCTAAATAACTGCTACTAAAATATCTTTACACATTTTTATAAAAATAAGTAAAAATTGTACAGAATATAAAAACCATAAAAAATTGTGAAACCTGTAATTTTATTCTTTTCATGTAAATTAATTCTCTAACTGTGGATTATCCATGCTGCCCTTTATGTCATGAACTCGACTTTTGGTGTCCTTCACCTGTGAATAAGGTCACGTTGGCTTGTAGAAATTAAAAGCTGCATGTTTGAAGGTCTGTCTGTGATGGCCAGAGACCACCTGCTGGGAAACCAAGTGACGGTGCCTTTGGCTTTGTCACCCTGTTATTTTCAGAGAAATTTAATTTGAGGCAAAACGTCAGTGCAAGCAATAGGAAAGATAAAACATCTTCAAATGAAGAAAAAAATCTAAGAGTATTATGCTTGAAAATTATAGGTTTTCAAAGTGTTTGGAGTTTGAAACTTAGATTTATAACTCAATTTCCTGATATTAAATCATTCATTTTATAGATATTATCTATATTATTGTTATATATATTATTATCATATTATATTTACAAAATAATATGGACAATATTTATACATTTCAGAGAAATCCATGTCTTTTTTTAAATTTGAAAGTATTAAGGGCGTGCAAATGTTTTTGCTTATATGGATTGCTTTTGTAATGCTCGAGTCACAGCCATAAGTATGCCCATCACCCAGAGTGTTCGTTGCACCCATTAGGTAGGTTTTGGCCACTCCCCTCCCCCCACCCCCACTTGATTTCCACTGAGTTTTACTTCCCTCTGTGCACAAACGTGTTTATCGGTTAGTTCCAATTTAATAGTGAGTACATGTTGTGTCTGTTTTTCCATTCCTTGGATACTTAGGATAATGGGCTCCATTTTCCATTCAAATTGTTACAAAAGACATTAATTCAACCATTTTTATGGCTGAGTAGTACTCCATGGTATACATATACCACATTTTGTTCATCCACTCATGAGTTGATGGGCACCTAGATTGATTCCATATCTTTGTAACTGTGAATGGTGCTGCAATAAACATTTGCGTGCAGGTGTCTTTTAGATAAAATGACTTCTTTTCCTTTGGGTACATACCCAGTAGTGGGTTTGCTGGATCCAAAGTTAGGTCTAATTTTAATTCTCTGAGGAATCTCCATACTGTTTTCCATAAAGATTTTACTAACTTGCAGTCCCACCAACAATGCATAAGTGTTCATTTCTCTCTGCATCCACACCAACATCTGCTGGTTTTGACTTTTTAATAAAAGCCATTCTAACTAGGGTAAGTTATATCTCATTGTGGTTTTAATTTGCATTTCCCTGATGATTACTGACATTGAGCATTGTTTCATATGGTTATTGGCCATTTATATATCTTCTTTTGAAAAGCTTCTGTTCATGTCTTTTGCCCACTTTATAATGGTGTTGTTTATGTCTTGCTGATTTGCTTTAGTTCTTTGTAGATTCTATCTATTAGCCCTTTTATCAGATATATAGCTTATGAATATTTTCTCCCATTGTTCAGGTTGTCTATTTGCTCTGTTGATTATTTCCTAACCTGTGCAGAAGATTTTTAGTTTAATGAAATCCTATTTATTTTCATTGTTGCTGTGATTACCATTGTGGTTTTAGATATAAATTCTAAGAACATCTAGAAGAGTTTTTATCTACATATTCTAATACAGTTCTTATTGTTTCGTGTCTTAGATTTAAGTCTTTTATCCATTTGGAATTAATTTCATGAGTACTGAGAGATAGGGGTCCTGTTTCATTCTTCTGTATGTGGCTATCCAGTTTTTGCAGCACCATTTATTGAATAGAGCGTCATTTCCCCAGTATGCTTTGTCAAAGATCACTTGCCTGTAGGTAGGTGATTTTATATCTGGGTTCTCTATCTGGATCCATTGGTCTATGTCTCTGTTTTGGTCATGATAGCCTTGTAGTGTAGTTTGAAGTCTGATAATATGATGCCTCTACATTTATTCTTTTTGCTTCAGAATGCTTTGTCTACTCATGCTCTTTTCTGGTTCCAAAAAAAGCATAGAATTAATTTTTCTAGATCTGTGAAATATGACATTGGTATTTTGATGGGGATTGCATTGAATCTATAAATCACTTTGGGTAGTATGGACATTTTAACAATGTTGATTCTACCAATCCATGAGCAAGATATTTTTTTTCATTTGTTTGTGTCCTCAGCGATTTCTTTCCTCAGTGTTTCATAGCTCTCCTTGTAGAGATCTTTCACCTACTTTATTAAGTACATTTCTAAATATTTTATTTTCTTTGTAGCTATTGTGAATGATATTCAGCCCTTGATTTGACTCTCAGTTTATCATTGGTATATAGAAATGCTACTAATTTATGGACATTTGTGATTTTTGTACATTGATTTTGTAACCTGAGACTTTGCTGAATTTATTTATCAATTCCAGGAGTCTCTTGGTGGAATCTTTGGGGTTTTCTCGATACAAGATTATATTGTTAGCGAAAAGCAATAGTTTGACATCCCTTTTCCCAATTTGGGAAAATCGCTTTATTTCTTTACACTTTATTTCTTTCTCTTGTCTGATTGCTGTGGCTGTGACTTCCACACTATGTCAAATAAAAGTGGTTACAGTGGGCACCCTTGTCTTGCTCCAGTTCTTAAGAGGAGTGCTTTCAACTTTCCCCCATTCAGCATGATGTTGACTATGTGTTTGTCATCTATGGCTTTTATAATTTTGAGATATGTTTCTTCTATGCCTAGTTGGTTGAGGGTTTTTACCATAAAAGGGTGCTGAGTTTTGTTAAATGTGGTCTATATTTTTGCTTCTGTTTTTGTAGTAAACCACATTTATTGATTTACATATGTTGAACCATCCTTGCATCACTGGGATGAAGCCCACTTGGTCATGGTGGATTATTATTTCTTTCTGGAATTATATTTCTTTTTATATTCTCCCTATTGCCAGAATTCTGGATTATTTTTTTTGATGTGCTGTTGAATTTTGTTTGCTAGCATTTTATTCCATGTCTTAATCAAAGTGTTTTTCTTAATAAAATTAATAATTACAAACTGCAGGAGGATATGTTAGTATGTTATACAGCTTACTTTTCTTTTAGAATTTATGGGGTAATGTATAAATTATTTTTCTGAAGACAGAAGCTTGTCTCTTATATTGTTTCCCATGGCATTAGACTAAGCTACTTTGGGAAGCTGAAGCAAGTAATAGATGGACATCAATAATATTGCATATAATAGAAGAGTAAACACAATAAATTTTTCATAAGCAGGGACAATGGTAAGCAAGGACATGGAAAGCAGTCAAACCTGGTGTGATCGTGGCATAAGACAAGAAACAGGAGATGAGCCAAAAGAAGAAGAAGAAAAGAAAGACGAAAAGGAGCAGGGAGAGGAGGAAGACCCGTACACTTTTGCTGAGATTGAGGACAGCGACTATGACATGATACTGGCCAGTATGAGTATGAAGAGAAAAACTGGAAGTCGGTCTTTCATTATAAACAGACCTCCTGCCCCCACACCCCGACCCACAAATGTGCCTCCAAAAGAGAAAACCACACCTTACATAGCTCAAGGTAATGTTTTATCATTGTTTGTTGATTTTCTTTTTCCTTTTGCACATGAGAGGGGAGGGTACAAGGTGATGTGATTCATGCTGTAAAACTCCAAAGATTAGAAATGTCTTCAAGTCACAGGTGAGTTGTTTTGGCCTCATTTTATTTTTAATTTACAAACATAATGAATGAAGAAAATAAGAATGATAGTTTGGGTTCCAGTTTATAATATTTCATTAAGAAGGATAATTTTGACAAACCATCCAGGGAATATGAAACCATAGCATATATGTAGAAATTCTATTTCATACCTCCTTCATAATTCTTCAAAGGGAAGCTCAACTCCTATAAATAATGTATATCACAAGAACATTTAAATATATACCACATAAGAGAGCACAATCTACTAAGAGAAACACAATTACTCATCTCTGCTTAATATTTTCAAATGAAACCATTCTATTCCTAATGTGTTTTATATATATATATATATATACATATATATATATATAGAGAGAGAGATTAGTATAAGAAATTTAGTGATTATATATAAAGTTATTTATCACTGTTCAATACACTTACTTAACAGTGATCTACTGCTGATAATGCTCAAACTATAACAAATTAATAAATGTTTCAGCTAAAGTAAAATGTCAATTGAAACAATCATCTAAATTATGAAGTCAGAGAATAAGCTTTAATTAGAAATTCTCATATTGTCTATCATAGTGATCTCTAAGATATTACTGTCTCTTTGACAAGTTTGCTAAATCTCAAGAATACTTTTAAATAGAAAAAATAAATATAGCTTGATACAAGAATTTGGTTATATTCTAGAATTTTTTGGAAAGATACATCATCTTTTGTACTTCAATCCTTAGAGAGTTTTTCAGGATCACAAATATCGAATCCCATGTTGTGTTGTTCTGTTTTGGCTTTATCTTCCTTCTCATCTTTCTATTGGCAGTTATATTCTTGTTTTCCAAGATCTCTTTGTTCTTTTTTTACAGCATTCTTTTCTCTTTTGGGGGGAGATAAGGGATGGGGAGAAGTGAAATTCTTTGTTACAGTTTTTCTTTCATTTTGTTTTTATTTGGGTTTTTAAATATCTTTGTTTTGACTTTTATTTTTCTCCTACTCTCATACTGTGTCTGTTGTTTTTATGTTATGTTTGTTTGTTCTGTCTGTTATGTTTGATACTTCCATCAAATATGCCTATTCTTAGCTATGCTTTTATGTTTAAGAATGAAGCAACAAAAACCTGAATGGAAACTCTACTTGTTAACTTGTGGACTATAGGGTAATAGAGAGGTAAGCAACTAGTTTTTTCATTGAATAATCCCGAAATGTTATGCAGCTCTATTGTATGCTTTCTAATTTTGCTAGCATAAAATCCAACTAACTGTAGTCTACACTTAACATATCTGGTTGCCAGCACATTGAGATTAGAGTGTAGAAAGAAGACTGGGTAGAAACAAGACTGCGAATTTCGCCACTCAGAATGCACAATCTAACTTGTTCTCCCTGTTTTCAGTCTAGTGTGTACCTCCTGCCACCCACTGTACCTTGCGTCCCATGTCCAGAGCTACTTCTTTTCAATTTCTGTCTCCTGAATAAACCTCCCATCATGGACGACTGCCTCAGTATTGAATACTTTCTTCACAGTATTGAAGAAAGAATTGGGGGCTATGGCTGCTTTAGGCTTTCAAGTAATCCCCATGTTAAATAAGTGCATTGTGATGTTTTTCTTCTCATTTGTTTATTTATTAATTATGTAGAGGTTTATTACCAATCATAAATCCTTCTGTGTATTAATTATGGGAGTTCCCTGAATGCAGTGGTATAATCTGCCTGTACATATATGCATGCATAAGAACTTTAAAGAATCTTAGAAATCTTGAGTTTTTAAGAAATTTGTAAAGGTTATTTATCTCACCCGTCCCAAGCCTGATAGCCTTCAACATTTATAACACATTTTCTAATTAAATTATATAATTTAATTTGTTCTTATGATATTTGTATTACATGGAGATAGGAATCAGTGTATTATTTTGTTTGTATTTGCAATTAAGTATATAACATAGGTATGATTGTTTGCCCCACATCCCAAATCAGTAGCAAAAGCTATACTGTAAATGGAGTCACCAAAATCTCCTTGCATTTTTTTTCTTTTCTCTTTCACTGGGATGTACTTGCCTGCTTCCTTCTTTTATGCCATTGATTGTTGATCATTCTGTTCTCCCATTAGGAAGACATTGCCTCATCAGCTAATTCTTTCTTGATGTTCTTTGCATTTCACAAGGTAAAAGTCTTTCATCACATCTTTGCTTTTTTTTCCTAGCTCAGGCAGATCTCTTAAACAGAATTGCCACTGTTTCCCAGAAAGCCATCCATTCAATTAGAAGAACATTAATTTGCCCCAATTCATCCCAGAAGACAAAAGTGGTAGCAGAATGTTGGCCTATCCAGGGTATCTTAACGTAGCCAAAAGTGAAAGATGAGGAGCAGGGAGGATGGAGGAAGAATACAGGGGGCAGAATCCTACCTTACTATTCCAGAAACTCAAGAAAACACTAGCAAAGAGACTGAGCAGAGGAAACCCAGGAATATATATTAAAAAAAAAACAAACATGTTGACTTGGGAGAAAGACCTGTATTCAGATTCAGCTGCCCTTACATAAGCAAGAAACTTCGTATCTGAGATTTGATTTTCTCATGGTTAATTGGGAATAAAAATCATATCTACTTCAAGGATTGTTACAATCTTAAAATGAGATAGAATCAGTAAATACCCAGTCCAATACTTGGTGTATAGTATATGTTCAATACATTACAGTTAAAAGCAATTCTACTTTGTCTTTGTTCAGATTCTGAGCAGAAGACGACTTGGATAAACTAACTTTAAATTATAGAAAAAGTGTCTGTGTGTTTCTGGGACTCTGGTGGAGTCGGGGGCCAGGAGGACAGTGTGCTGGAGTGGAGGGGGGGAAAGACACTGTCGTCTAGCAGGACAAGTTGGCAACTTCCATGCCACCTTCCAATCCACGCAACGACCCTGCACGGTTGGCAGTAAGAGCCTCACTTTAGAAATAAGAAAACTGATGTTCAGTGAGTTTCAGTTTCTCTCCCCAGGCGACAAAATTAGGAAAAGGAAGAGGCGGGAGGCAGATAATCTGCTTCCGGTGCCTGCGCCACGGCCCCGCAAATCACCCTCCCCGATGTGCTTGTTTCTGGATTGTTCACTGATACTTATTTGTTCTTTCTGACCCATACGATCCATGAAGGAAGAAATCGACTTCACCTGGTTTTGCCTGTCCTTTTATCTCTGGTGCCAAGATCAGTGCTGAATTGCTGACAGAAACTATGCATATCTGATGAATATTTACTAAATAAAATTATATAATTGGTAAGGTCCACATCGGTGTGGCTAGAAGACTTCATTAACACTGTGAAGGGTAGTCGGAAGAATATATTACTCTACCAATTCCTACAGTTCTCCTGTTTTAAACCACCCATGGCCAAAACTCTGCTAATGTGAAGGGAAGCCGGGGTGTGGAAGCCGGGGTGGGGCCACATGTGGCCTCTGCATCCTTGCGTGCGGCCTTTTGAGTGAACCCAAATTTTACAGAACAAATCCTCTTAATAAAGGGATTTGTTCTGTGAAGTTTAGATTTGGTCGAGGGGCCACACTCAGGGATGGGAGGCCACATGTGGCCTTGGGGCTGCAGGCTGCCCACCCTGGAGCGAGATATTGCCCTACAGCCCAACATTCTGTTCTCACGAAGTCCAATCTGTGAGAGGAAGCTCTGTTGCCACCAGCACTGCTATCCCCACCCTTGGAAGTGTGACTTGCTAAGAATGCTAACCCTAACCTGTGTCGGTTTACTTTACCAAGAGATGTGCTTCTGATTTTTTATCCCATTGCTGTTGTACTAAATCTAATCTTAGGTTAACAAGCACAACAAGAATAACTCATTTTTCTTAAATAGAAAATTTCTGAAGTCTATTTTCAGATATCATATTCTGTCTACTTTTTTCTCCCTGTGATATTGAAAAGGATCAGGTACATTAAGCTTCAAGAATATAGAGGAATTAACATGGATTTATAGTCTTCTTTAGTGACAGAATTCTTGATTTAAGACAAATCAAGGAAAGAAAATGAGCTCCTGGCATAGCAAAGACAGATTGGTCGTAAAACTATATTCATAAATCATGCAAAGAGATGAATGCCTATTGGGTAAAATTTTTCAACATCAGTGGACAATTTTCCATTTCCTCATCACACAATTAGTAGAACAAAGATCCTTCTTCAGAGTCCATGTGACTGATCTGGGGCAGAATATAATTTCCCTTTCAGTTTCCAATTGCTACTGAGTTGGCCTTGGCATTTTGCAGTGCAACAGAGTTGTGTGTGACCTTTCAGAGAGCTACTCAGCTACTGGGACCCCGAAATGTCAAGCACAACTCAGTTGCTCTCAGAAATTTTCCACTTGCAATTCACTTGTACTTGAAATTGATCATGTACAATGCAATTGAAATGTGAAAAGAAAAAAAAAGACCTAGTAGAAACTCTTAGGAAAATTAATCTGTATCACTGTAAATGTGACAGGGTAGAACGGTCTCTGTCCTCATTAGCAAACATGATCAAGTGGATTACAGTGGGTCTCAGATCAAGTGCCTCGGGCCTCTCTCTGGCTGGTGACCCTGCCCAGACCATTTAGCTGTGCAACATGGCACGTGCCCCACAGGTGTGCTCGCAGAATAGAGTGACGTGTTTATCATCCTGTTTGGAAGCCCCGTGTACCTGCCTTTCTCCTGTGACGCTGCCTCAGCCTTTCCTTGACAGGGTCCTGTGCGGCTCCACGAAGGAGCGGGCGCTCTGACCTGCGCTCGCCCTGCCCGCGGAAGGGGCCGGGGCTGCTTGGGGACCCCGGTGCTTTTATCTGCTGCTTCTTGCCTTCTCACAGCAGAACACCTGGCCCCTGGCTTTTTCACAGGGACACTCAATGAAACAAGAGAAG